TCTCTCTCGTTTCAGAGGCAGTTTCAACAAACGCTGCTCAGGACATTTCACGCCGGGTCTCGCTCAGCCCTTAGCAACTATTTTTCTCCCTCCACTCAGTTCCACAGACGAGTTTTTAGTGCACTGGGGTAAATAACCCCGGACTTAATGCCCTGGGAATTTTTACTTGCTGCGATCACTTTTACTACGGTTTTAAACACACCATGGGGGGAAAAAAAAAAAAAAACAAAAAAAGAAAACTTGTTAGAAACTCATTTGTGTTTTGATTTTTGTAGGAAAAGGGAGTAACTTTTCACCCCCTGAAATAAATACAATTGAGTAGCAATTTGTTTAAAAGGTAACAAAGTATTTGAATACTATTTTCAAAGAGTATATTGAATAAAAATAAAAATGCTGGGGAGGGGCCCGAGCATCCCTGCCTCTAAATAGCAAGTGCACTCCGGTTTGCTCCCTACCTGTTGTGCCTTTCCAGGCAGGATCGCCCGTRTCCCCGGCCACGCAGCCTTCCCGGCTGCCGCTCTGGGAAGCTACAAGCCGGGCTGGGATGAAGTTGGGATTTCGGAATGCGACCTGCTGTAAAGGCTGCGCTCCGGACAAAGCGGGAGCGCAGCTCCCGGGTTGTGCACGAGCCAAAAAGTGCCCGAGAGGCAAAGGCGCCGCTGCTTGTGGTGGTTTAAAACGACCCCGTTTGCTGAATTCCCCTTAACGCAGGAGCGTTTTCAATTATTCATCATCCCCCCGCCCCGGCTTAAACTGATAATTACGTGGGGGGGGACAGGGCTGCCGCCACCGAGGCGCCTTCGCGGAGGCGGCCTGAAGTTGTGGCCTCCCCTCTCGCAACTCTCATGAAAACGCGCCGCACTTTGATGAAAATTAGCGCGAGTTTTGTAAAGAGCACGTTGGGGGCTTGCAGCCAGGCCTTATCTTCAGTTCCAGTCAACTAGCAATGCTGAAAGAGTTTGCATCCCCATCAGAGCAGGCCATTTGATAGGATTCTGCTGCTGAACCTAATCAATCTCGGGAAGACTGGGGCTGCGCGGTGTAACAAAGCTAAAATAGATTTACAAATGGGGTTTTAGAGGATAAGCTCCTCCACAGGATTACATATTGATTTTAAATATAAAAAGCTTATCATATAAACCATAACTACAAAAATAGTGAACCTATGCATAAATCCTTTTAGAAGAGCACCCACTTCAAACTCGGAGCCAAGAATGAATCAAGATGTAGCACGTCCTAAAGCAGATCCATTTCTCGGGCGGAAAGCGAACACGCTACCCCAAGGTGTGCAAAACCCAACTTATCTTTCCTAAGGAGGCATTAAATYGCGGGGCAGGGGGGAAGGAAAGGAAAACCCACTAGGAAGGCACGCGAGGGCCAGGAGCCGCGGCGGAGGCGACGCATCCTCCGATCCCAAGCTCCGAGACGCTGCGGGCTCTGGTTTCCGTGAGGAGGCGGCTTCCAAGCACACAGACGGACAGACGGACAGAGCCTTTCYCCCCCTGCGTGTTAAAGCAGACCTGGGGACCTCTCTTTCCTCTGGCTTTAGGCAGCCCGGTGCGGGGCCGGGCGGGAGCACAGGGAGCCCGTTCTCCCCTCTTTTCCGCATGGAAAAACTTGCCCAGCGGCAGTGCGGGGCCGGGGCTGCCCCGTCGCCAGCCTCCTTTCCTTTCCCTTCCTTTCCCTTCCTTTCCCTTCCTTTCCCTTCCTTTCCCTTCCTTTCCCTTCCTTTCCTTTCCTTTCCTTTCCTTTCCTTTCCTTTCCTTTCCTTTCCTTTCCTTTCCTTTCCTTTCCTTTCCTTTCCTTTCCTTTCCTTTCCT